AGGGCATAAATACGAAACCCGGTAATTTCAGAGTTGGGATAAGGTGCCTAGGAGGAGTAAGCACCCGCTTTTGACTGGTCACACCTGCCGTGAGCCCTATGTATTGATCATTTAGACGAATATTCCGTAATCAAATTTAATATAAAAACCTAGGCCTAACAATTGTTATGGAACAAATCAGAAAAAAATGAAAACAAAAACAAAACAAAAACAACAACAACAACAAAACAAAACATCCCCCCCCAAAAGAACAAAATAAAAAAAAAAAAACCGACCTAATGGTAGATTATATTTGCCGACAAGGTCATTATAACGACCATAGAATAAAGGTGGGGGATATGAACACCATACGCAAGTGATAGCGAAATATTACTACATAATTAAGGAAATTTGACGATGGAAAAGTAGAATTTATCTTGTTTGTCATACAATTTAGTTGTTAGTTGGCCCTTATTGTCTATAGTCACAGATGTGGCAGACTCTGTGGTGTATTTTACTTCGTTGAATGGGATATATTGAGTCAAAATATCAATGAAAATAGCTATTGTTAATTGAGAAAATGTCGTCTATATATATAAATGTTAAGTTGAAGGCCACGGCAAGTGTTTCCTTCTTCTCATGTAGAAGTGTTTGAAAAAATACCTCTTCACAAAAACATTAAAAAAGGTCGGCTAAAAAAGGAGCTCAGTTAGCGCACATCGAAATTCCAACAGTTTGTTGGAAAACAGTATCCGAAGACTTCATAAATATTGTCCTTGAGGAACTCCAGTATCCTTCAAAATGAACTTCAGAGTACTTATGTGTAGAATCAAAGTGATTTCGTTGATGAGTTAGGTAAAGGGGAGTTTAAACTGTTGAAATGAAGGGCTAATTCTCCTTCCAAGGGGGCATAATCAAGAAAAACAAAGATAGGGTGGGGTCATTAAAAAATCTCAAGAACCACTGGGTCAGAAAAGTTTGAACTTAAATGGAATCTTCCTGACGTAGTGTCAATTCTAAGTTTTTTAAATCATGGCTCATGGGGGTAGGGCGTCACAATAAGGGAACAAAGTTTTACATTGAAATATATAGGAAAAATCTTTAAAAAACTTCTTCTCAAGAGCACTATACCAGAAAAAATGAAACTTAGGTGAAAGTTTCCTGAGGCAGTGTAAATTGTAAATTCTTAAGAATGTAGTCCCTGGAGGCAGGGTGAGGCCAAAATAGGTAATCAAAGTTTGGTTTAGGAATATATAAGAAAAAGTATTTAAAATCATCTTAAACACAGCAAAGCTATGATTAGTTCTATTGATAATGAGGCACCTTAGGTAGAGTAGATTTAAGTTTGTTCAAATTATAATCTATGAGGGTAGAGTGGGGCACAATAGGCAATCAAAGTTTTACATACGATTTTATAGGAAAAGTCTTCAAAACTCCTCCTCTCACGAACAGGAAAGCCATGATGATTCATTTTAGCTCACCTGAACTGAAGGCACAAGAGAGCTTTTCTGATCACATTTTGTCCGGCGTCTGTCCGCCTGTCTGTCTGTTTGTTTGTCCGACTGCCTGCTTCTCATGCGGTAAATTTTTCACATCTTCGACTTCTCAAGAAACACTTTGCCAATTCACTTAAACTTGCCACAAAGTATCCTTGTGTAAAGAGGTTTCAAGTTTGTTCAAATAAAGGGTCACGCCTTCTTCCAGGAGAGAAAATTACGAATTAGTGAAAAATTAATGACATGCCTAAAATCCTACCCATCGGAACGCTATATTTAAGCGCATATTGCGCAGGGCTTACAAATAACAAAGCCATTTAACAAAGAGAGCAGAAAAAGAAAAGTACTCTTAGCTCATGGACATGTATCTCATCTCACATCGGACAAAAATTGTCTGATGGTGAATGTTTATTGTTGACGAGAGGACCCTCGGCAAAATCACATCATGCAAGAAACATACTCATTCGATTTTTTAATGAGTTTGCCGAAAATTTGAATACAGATACAAGTTCCATGATCCTAATTATGATAAAAATGAAATGCATCCTTTCCGCGTAAAAACAGGCTGACTTTGAACCCGAATTATACGGACTCCATACAAACATAGTTTGACAAAACAAAACTTTAATTGTCACTAATGGAAGTCAGAAAGGCTGTTGACAATTTGGATTTGCCTGAACAGAGAGCAGAGAAGGAACTCACAAAAACACAATGACATCATTTTCAAAAAAAGCTGAAAAAAATTATATGACTACGGTCATGCATAAATCAGGAAGAGAAACAGATAATCGGCAATTAAATTTAAAACGTAACTGCTGAATAAAGTATACCAAGTTAACATCTTGTAGAACGAATTACTAAAATTAATGCAAAGGATGTCCATGATGATATTACTGATAGCTTCCTCCACACAGCTGATAAAATGAGGACGGAGAGATTATATCTACTCCCTAAAATACACAAACTTGAAATTGAAATTGCAATTCCATTACAAATAATAGGTGCCGCAAAATACCTATGATTCCACATGGAAAGTCAATTATATATTATAAAAGGCACCCATAGAAGTCAATTGTGCTTATTATATTATTAAAAATCTTTTGTGCATACTTGAGCACAATTTTTAGGGATAGTTCAGACTTCCTATTGAAGAGTGAAATTACTGCTGGCTACATTACTTTACTCAAACATTCAATTGGAGGAGATAATGGCTGCTGATGATACAGAGAAATTGACAATAGTGTTTTCTCAGAGCAAACCCTGCCTATAGCAGACCTAAGTTATTTACTCACATTTATCCTAGAAAGTAATACATTTGAGTTCAATGCAAATATTTACGAATTCGAACAAATCATTGAATGTGCGATGGGAACTTATCAGGGGTCCCATTCCGTATGTGACATTCACCCCCCCCCCCCAAATTACCAATGAATTTGAAACATGTTTATCGAATGTGTAATGGGGTATATGAAATTATTAAAATACCGGCACATTCTAAATAGTAAAAAGATTGCAATACAATCTCTTCCGATTTACCAATTACGTCATTAAAGGCAATAAAAATCTGAGTGACATGCTCTCCTTCTGACTAATTAAATAAGCCGTATAGCAGATGTGTTAATAGGCTCCTGATGATGGCGGATTTGCAGCTTATTAATAATCTATCAAAATCATAAACCTCGTATCACAGGTCGAAACACTAAATTAGTATTAGTATCAAGTGATATGAGGTACCCGGCTGATGGGAACAACAATCGCTGAGCCAGAAAATATGAAATTATACGGAAGGATCATCAGGTAGTGTAAATTGAAGTTTGTTAAAATCATGACCCCCGGGTTAGGGTAGGGCCACTATAGGTTTCAAAGTTTTATTCAGAATACACAGGGAAAAATTTTAAAACATCTTCTCCGGAACTGCAAAATCATGATTAGTAATATGTATATGGAAGTATATTCATGTAGTGTAGGTTCACGTTTGTTCAAATCATGACCTCCGAGGTGGAGAGAGGCCTTAATGGGTGATCAAAGTTTTACATAGGAATACATAGGATAAAATTTTTAAACGTCTTCTTCTTCAGAACAGCAAAGCCATGATTAGTCATATCTATATGGAGACATCTTCATGTAGTGTAGATTCAAGTTTGTTCAAATAATGACTCCCAGGGGAAGGGAGGGGCCACAATGGGTGATCTAAGTTTTACATAGGAATTCATAGGAAAAGAATTTCAAACATCTTCTTTTTCAGAACAACAAAGCCATAATTAGTATATCTATATGAAAGCATATTCATAAAGTGTATTTTCAAGTTTGTTCAAATCATGACCCCAGGGGCCACAATGGTTGATCAAAATTTTACATAGGAATACACAAAAAATATAAAAATCTTCTGTGGAACAGCATAGAAGCATTATCAGATAGTGTAGATTCAAATTTGTTCAAATCATTAACCCCTGTGGTAAAAAGGGGTCACAATACAATCAAATGTAAAGGAAAAAAATTGGAAAAATCGTCTAAAGCCAGGATAAGTCAAAGAAATAGGGAAGCATTCTCAGTTTTTGTAGGTTCAAGTTTGTTCGAATCATGATCCCCATTGAGAGAGGTTAATTTGGGACCACTCATATATTTAAACTTGTCGATAGTGAACCGATTTCTGCTTTGTCTAGTCAAAAGGCTCAGATGAGCGAGAAGCTCATGTGTCTCTTGTATTGAAGAAGTAGTTATCTGTGATATCAAAAAGCGTAGGTTTTAATTTATCGTGAGAGATGGCTGTATAAGGTGTTAAAAAGTCGCACGTTTTGATGTTCTTCACTTTTGAAAAATTGGTGATTTTAAATTTTCTAAAAAAAATCTCTGCAGGTCTTTAGAATCAACGTCTGATTTACACAACTTCTAGAAAATACCGTAGCACAGTGCGTCTGAAGCTTCGCCTTTATAGCAGTTGATAATTCTTGTAAGGAGTAAAAATAGGTGCTTGGTAAAGCATTTGCTGGACATAGACATCTGTGTTTGTAAGGATCTAAAAATAAATATAAATATTAATATAAATATAAATATTAAAAAGAATACTGTTTTTAAAAGCTTAGGTGTAAAACAACAGGTTTCAATATGGAGCAGATTAATTTACGATGTATTTAAGACAAAATGAATCTTTTACGTCAATGAAGAAGATATTTTTGTTGTAAAAAAATTTCTCTTTAGTGGATAAAGCATATAAATGCATGTAGAAACAGAGAGTATGACAGACAGAAACAATTCGAACATTTCAGATTTTTTCTTCGTCCAATATCAGATAAACAGATAAAGTCCTCATTATTTAACTGGAAGCTTATCTATTATAAATAAATACAAAAATTAACAAGTTTCGGAAATTCACAGTATCTGTATTGTGTTTGCACATAATTTGCTAACAACCAATCAAAATTTCAGATTTCAGTGAAAACATTTTCTGTGTGCTAAAAAAATTGTGTACATGACCAACGTCTAGTGCTCTTTAAAATTAGTTTTTCCTAGCCTGTCGAATAAAGCAGTTCTTCATAGAAACAAGTTAACCACAGAGATGGGAGCTTTATACTTACCATGTCTAATACTTTCCTTGTGCATGTATGAAACATTTGGGCAGGTATCCTCACTTCAAAACAAGACATTTGATAAAAGTGGTTTGATGCCTAGTCCCGTATCAGGTAAAGCGTCCAATGTTTTACGGGACATTCTGAATCAGGAGAGTCTTGTACGTTTCTCTATGGTACAAAGAATCCAGCGCTTGGTTATGGATGCCATAGACAATAAAAACGATAGGGAAGTTATAAAAACAAAGCTTGGGGATGTTATAAATGAATTACAGGATTTGGAGAAAAAAGACCAGAGAATTGAGGCGGAAAACATGGAACTTAATCGAGAATTGAAGACTTTGGATGAAAAGTTAAAGCAGATCAACGAGACTTTACAAATAATTAGTGTAAATAATATCGTCGATCGGCTCGCTGCAACAGAAGACATGTTTAGTATTTTATCCGCCTTTGTTAATAAATCTCTTGAAAAAGCTCACGAGGACTTAAAAGAGTCAATGCTGCATTGGTCACAGTGGACTGGTAAGTAAGCTGCACAAAATATAATATAATATAATATAATATAATATAAAAATATAATATAGTATAATATAATTATAATATAATATAATAATAATATAATATAATATAATATAATATAATATAGTATAATATAAAATAATATATATAATCTGTTTCAATTTCGAGTTATATTTGAATCAATTCAATTACAATTACATTGCAATTTTTATTTCTATAAATGTTGTTACTTTCTTTGACACTACATGTATGTACAATTATTTTTACTGACATGGTCATTTTCCAAGATGTCTTTAACAATGTAAAATTTATATGTTGATTTTTCATGTTAATTTTCAAAATGACTCTTTTAAAGGGAAAACCTACGCTAGAATAAATTGTTGTATTGTTTGAAGATTTTTTTTTAGATTGATCACTGTTCGTAATCTCACAGGTAAAATTGCAACACATGTTAAACATATGTTTTACGTACATTTTGAAACATACGTTAAACATTAAAAATGATCACATATGCTTAACATACGTTTGAAACATATGTAGAATATATGATCTTTTAAAAACTAAAATAAAAATTGTACTTTTGATGGTTTAGTTATTTGTTTCCATAAAGAAATCACTCAAATTCATGCAACCTGGCAACTAGACCCAACCTTAAGGGTCCTCCACACCCTGTGACTTGTGACGTATATCGAGAAAAAATGCCATTACTTCCGGTTTTATATAGTTTGTGCACTGACGATTTGCCTGGTACCGCCTGTGTCAGAGAGTATTAGAAACGCTTTAGAGATAAAGGTTTTGTCAAGGGAAAAGTATGCAGTAAACCGAGAGCGACACCCTAATCATAAACAATGTACTCATGGCATGATCACGGAGTGACCGATAGAAAAAGATGTCCATTTTTTAAATAAAAGAACAACATACTTTTGGGTTTACGTTGCATTATAATTCGTAAATAACAGGTATCAGTATAACGAGAAAAGTTTAAGGTTATTTATTCTCTAAGGCTTATCAACCCATTGCCATATCGTCAACAAAGTCTGTGTTGAAAGTTGATATTTTTGCACACTAATTTGTGCGTTTCATTAATACATATCTCATTATTTGTTTTTTGAATATTGATAAATAGTGTGCATTTCTGGTTTTGCTCATTATTGATATCTGTCCTGTTCAGTTGCCAATGATGAGTAGCTTGAGTATGATGACGTATGCGGAGACTTGCCAAAGTTTTTGAGTCCCGGGCAACAGGAAAGATAACTCTAAAAAGGAACTTTGATACCAAAGATTTTAAAAATAATTTTTCTACATCAATGAATTTGATTTTAATTCAATTTCTTGTTATAATTTAATTCATTAATGTTTCTTCTAAACTATCAGGATTCTTCCTTAATTTTTTCTAGATGTATTTTAAAGAAAATGAGTTTTATTTATTTCTCATAACTAAATTAATTTCTTTAAAAAAATATGTTGACAGATAGAATTAAGTTTTTGTGTTATTTTGTGAGCTTAATAAAATACGATAGGAAAAAACAAGATTTGTTGTATTATGTTTGAAAACTTCATGGGAAAAATATCTTGAACCTTATAAAATTAATTTTTTTTAAAAAAATCAGTATAAATTATATTACTATTCCTGGCCAGTTTTTAAAGGCTGATATGCTTGTTAAAAGTAATGCTCTGTAATATGAGAACATAAGCTGGGGGTGTGTGGAGGACCCTTAAGTAGAGATGGTAATATGTGGAATTCAGAATATCTATAAATCAAGGCAGCAATCGACATCAATCCCGATGCAATTTACGGCACTTACGTTACGCACATAGGGACAAACTAACCCACTTACGCTACGCACACAAAGACAAACTAACCCCCCCCCCCCGCACTATATACATGGAATTAAAAATTAAGATAAGATATAAGAACGATTTCTTTCTACTTTTATTGCAGAGTCTCGATTGACAGAAGTGGTGTTTACAGCGGGGATTACAACTAATACACGCTTTCAAAGGGACCAAACAGTTATATTCCCGCATGTAATAACCAATAAAGGAAATGCTTATAATCCAGCTAATGGGGTATTTACTGCCCCTGTAAACGGAACATATGTATTCTTTTGTTCTATCATATCCGTTGGTTCCGACAACTCATGGGTTAAAATCATTAAAAACGGAGCTTTACAAGTTGTGATCGGTGCATATGGAAGCGCAAATGATTATGACTCATCAGCATCTAACATCGTCAATCTTCAGTTAATCAAAGGTGACAGAGTTTGGGTAGCTGGATATTCAGCAGCATTTCGGCTCTACTCAGAAAGTGGTAATCCAGTCGCAACCTTCTCTGGTTTTCTTCTGTAAACTCTGAAATGACACTTAATAATTCTTAAATGTGTGTTGTTAGAAAAGGAAGAAATTAAGTTTATGTCTCAGATTAAAATTCATCAATTCGTACAATTCATATCCCATCCTTCACGATGAGATACGTTAAGACGTGCATAATTAGATGCATTTCTACAGATTTAGGAAAACAATTATGACGTCACGTTAAATAAATACAACTAAATCTTCATAAGATGTCTAAAAAGAATCTTGTCATACATTCTCTGTTACTTATTTCCAATAAATAATATTAAATCAACTCCCGCTAACGCTAAGCTTCAGCAAATCGAATTAAATTTTATTTTATTTATCTACTATCGTTTCAGATTTGATGTAGCGTGGCAAACGAGAATAGAAATCGGACCTCTCGATCAGAAAGCGAACGTCCTAACACTAGGCTACCTTAACCGGTTAAAATAGATGAAGATAACGTACAGAGATCATTCTCATAAAGCTAGTATCCTGGTTGCAAAATTTTAAACCTATACAATATAAATAATCTACAAACAATACAAATCTGTAAAGATGAGCACGTCCCCTGGACATTCCAGTGGTTAGAGTATTTACTCTAGAGTCGCGGTGTAAGGATTTTATTCTTATATCGTGGATTGAATACCATTGCGGGACGTAGAGACCCATCCTTCGGATGAGACCGTATAAAACGAGGTCTCGTGTCGCAGTACGCTGGTACGAAAAAGATCCCTTATTTCACAAAGACAATTAGTGCTGCGTACAGGTCTACAGTGGCTGCAACGTTATTGTTGACAAACCAGTCGTGTAGAATCGTTCGTGTAACGTGCGTGATCGTTCGTGTAAAGGCCCTTTCACAATTGGCGCACGAGCTCTTTACAACACTTTGCAATCGGAATTTTTTAGCTTCGCGCGAGCTCTAGCATACGTTGCAGGATGTCTCGCATTCGTTGCATGCGTTTTAGTGGTCGCATCAAGTCTTCTCAAAATAGTGGACATGCACACTATTCAGACGCGACCAAATGCGATCCAAATTATCGCAATGCAACGCACGAACATTAGTACGAACGTCTTACAACGTTTTGTGTACTCGTAAGAGTGATGCACGATTTTTAAAGGTCGTAAGATAAATCGCAGCTGTCTATGCGTGTGTTTTGCGACCATGAGAATGTCGCTCATAGTGTCTCATGTAATCTTGCAACGTTTTACTATCATTGCACGATTTATCAGCTTCAATTTACCACGCAGATTTTATATATATACACCATATATATTATATATATACATCAATACGATATCAAACCGCCAAAACACTTTGCTGTCATAACGATACAGTCAATTATTAAATATGCACATTCTAAACGAAGAAATAAGAAAAATTGCAGCACTGTGTCGGGTTCTCTAAATTTAGAATTGCGTGGCTGATGGGTGTTGCCTAAATGCACTCGATCGAGTATTCGTACGCATGATCGCAAGAGCGCCGCACGTCCAATCGCATTGGCGCACGTTCCGATCACCTGATTACTAGCGCGATCCTATCGCATTATCTTACAACACTCGCTTTCATTTTATATCAGTCGCATATAGACGCAAGATATATCGCAAGATTTAATGCATTTGCATCGCACAATGGTCGCTTTAGATCTTGCGAATTTCGTACGAACACTTTTCATATGCGATTATTTCGGCAACAGTTTACGATCCAAATCATTTTTTTTCGGTCGTACGAATATTTTGTCGCGTCTGCTCCTGCGCCAATTGCGTCAATTGTGAAAGGGCCTTAACGTGCAAGATCGTGCGTGTATCAGACTCAATCGTTTAGAAACGTGTAAATTTCGTTTTGTAAGTTTTTATCGGAATGTTATTTGTTATACAAGCATTTTGCCTGTCTGTTGAGGCGCGATTTATATAATTGAAATCGGAACAAACTAGTTATCGCTTGGAAATAAGCAGTATAGTCAAATCAATAGATCAAAAATAGATATTTTTACAAATAAATAAATAAACAATTCTCAATGCTTACATAAATATTTAGTCGGCAAATGTACATGTACACGACATGATTGTCGGGGTTTCGTTTATCAGTGTTTATCTCTGGAGCTTTCTTTTAATTATTTTTATAATTTCTGCAAATAAATGATTTGTGAAATAATTGTTGATTTTAGAGATTCACAAATGGAAACATGGATATAATTTATAATTTAATTCATTTTCTCAAACTTATCCCTTTCTGCATATTATGATATCCAATGCAATCAAAACTCACGTACATCTTCTGATAGAACGAAAAAAAAATCAGTTTTCGTAAGTCGGAGAATTACGTAAATAATTATTTGTAATCTAAAATAATTAATAAGTCTTACATGTACATGTGTATTAAGTTCCAGAAATATCCATTTCTTTTTTTTTTTTTTCGTTTTTCAAGGTCGATGAAATAATATCAATACTATTATTTGAAATCTAAAATAAGTATTAAGCCTTATTTCGTTTTGAAAATATCCATTCCAAAAGAATTTGAACTATTTTGCGTGAAGAATCGTGCGTTTGCATTAGCAATCGTGTAAGATCGTGTAACCTGTAGAATCGTGTGCGTGAAGGATCGTTCGTGTAACAGATTTTATCGTGCCTTAATCGTGCGGGATCGTTCGTGTAACGTGATCGTTCGTGTAAGTTGTCAACAATAACTTTGCAGCCACTGTAAATTTGTAGCCTTCCCCTGCAATTGGTGGCGTCTAAATATGAGTGAAAAATTCTGGAAGGGACGTTAAATAACAAATAAATAAACAACTGAAACAAACAAGGTCATTATAACGACCATAAGATTTTCATATGCTGATTTATATTAAACTAGGTTTGTGAGCTCTTGAAAATGTCAGATGTATATGATTACGCCCATGAGAAAATGGTGCCTATGGCAATTTTTACACTTATTGTGCTTTTCATGGATTTTAATAGAGCAAAGCTAGGAGTGTCAAATCTGAATTTTTACGGCTCTATACCTACTCTAAATATGGTTTCAATGATACTTCAACAGTTATTTTACTTTTGCGTTACTAGTATATGTATGTATAAAATCAATTTTTGTTTCATTGTCTTTTTAAACAGTTTTTACAAGTAGAATCCATCAACAGTATGGCAATTATGAGTGTTTGAGTTGTTTGTTTTACATTTCGCTCATGTTGGGACGACTGGAAATTTAGACCTAAGAAGCATGCGACTCTCGGGCAAAAATTGTTTTGGAATCACATAGGATTAATTCGAAAATGATGTCATTTTAAATATGACTCTCGATCGCCCAAGACGTCAATTTTATTGTTTGAAATAAGTACTGATATATCCGCTCGACTTCCCGAAAATATATGTATTCTCTCTCTCTCTCTCTCTCTCTCTTTCTCTCTACATATATAAATATATATATGAGGGTTCCTGCATACAGGGTTTCAGTGAAATATGATTAGCGGTTATACTGAAGAATGGAGTCTTTCTGTTAATGTAATGAAATATATGGAGATAACGAACAGTATTCAAGCTCAAAAGTCCATTAAAGAATACAAATTATTTTGTTGCAGAGCAAAAAAACACGGACCTCCAAAACATAAGAGATGGGATCAGGTGCCGTGGAGGAGTGAGCATCCCCTGCCAATCCGTCGACAATTCAGTGTGTAAATAATGGCCTAACAGTTAGTATGAAAAACGTCAGTCAGCATTTTTTATTTAATAAGCATTCAAACATCCTTTGAAAAAAATATCCATACAAAATATGCTCAAAACACTCTACCCAAGATTCTCGTTGTCAATGTCCTGCTATTTTGTATACATAATGTTATTTTGAAAAAAATAAGTTCTTGCAAATTTTATGTATATATATCTACAGGTGATGTTCTTATAAAAAGAATGACTTAAAAAAAATGAAGAGAAGTATAGCGCTTTGAGCTTTTGAGAATTATATTTAATCAGTGAGGGACATTATACTTAAGCAATGTGATATATTAGATTTATCAGTGTGAGACCTTCTGTTTATAAGTGAGAGGCATTAAAATTTATCAGTGAAAAACAGTATATTTTTAAAGGTTATTTTTTATCATTAAAAGACATTATATACATTATATTTATCAATGAGACACGTACGGTGTATTTTATGTGTGAGAACATTATACTTATCAGATGATATTTTCATTATTTATTATTGAAAGACTACATTTTATCAGTGAAAACAAACTTTATCAGATTATATTCTATAACTATAATCGCTTTCATGCCAATATGAAGCTCTGATATATTGTCGATTATAGACACGTCCAGTGTAGGAATGCTTTTGGGTATGTTATAGCCTTAAAAGAATTTAAAATACATATATACATAAATACAATTACTATTTTTACATGTAACACATTCAGACATGCATTAATGCATAATCAACAGATATTGGCCATACTTTTATCACATGTTCGTAACAAAATGAATTATATATTTAAGGAATAACTGTCTATTTTTTTGGTTGCATGATGTGATCAATTGATTAGCTTGCGTGATAATTTGCATAAACGCCGAAATTATCACGCAAGCCAATCGATTGATCATCGTCATGAAACAAAAAAATCTGACAGTTATTCCTTATATTTACATGCTCTCGATTCCGCAAATTCACGCGCTTCTATCTCGCCCGCCACGTGATTTTTTTTAACCACGCCTATCGATGAACCAGTAGATTTATATAGAAAAAAAGTATCTTTACTATTTGTAGTTTTATCTAGGACAAAGAAATTTTAAAATGTAAATATAAAATAATAAATAATAGTTAAAGTGAAAAGGTGATTTATAAGAAGTCTTTGGGTGTAACATTTATATTTTAAGCTAACTGGGAAAGATGGAAGGCCATTGGGGAAAATACCTGACGTTGTTTGTTCAGTAATAGGTGATTTGGATAAACTTATATTTCTATAAATTGTTGGAGGCACTTCTCTCCCAGCTGTACTTGAATCTGTTGTTGTCTTGTCTTCATTCCGCGTGGTTAATTTTCCCTGATTTGTTGTTGGCTCAAGAGATAGGATAGTTATTTCTTCAGTGCCTTCTTCCATATTCCCAAACGAGACTTCCTCTTCTCTCGTTGTACTTTCTGAGCCACTCACTTCTGAATTTGTTATTTCGTTTTTGACTTGGAACCAAAGCGCCTGGATAAATGAGGCCCCACTGTAGATCATAATTTAATTTTTAAAAT